TAGTAATATAAAATATCAACATAATCTTATATCTATTATTTGATTCTATTGAAAGTCATAATCTCCAAACAATACCACCGTATCTCATTATTATACCGATTGAGTAATAAGTAGTCCGCATCGGTGGAGTTTCACAACCCGTTTTACGTGAAGTGGCGTCGTAAAACTCGGTGAAAAACACGATATTCGCGGTGATGCGCAGTAGTCGTAAAGTACGTTCACCAGTGTTTTTTGTATCACTAGGGTGGTGATATATGATATTGATGCACTTTTATATGCACTACTGGTTGTTATCAACGACTTATATATCAAGTAACATACTTATATTTATTTATACCACTCATTTCTCAATCTTTCCATAGAGCAAAATTACTCTCACCAAGCTAGTGATAGCCAGAATAGGAGTATGCCTACGATGCCAGCAGACCCGAAATTAGAGGCATGTACGAATACAACTTCGCATGTGTATTTGGACTTTATAAATATTGAAAATGCTCAAACATAAATATACGATATAAAAATATAAATTGATTATTAAAAATTATATAAATTGTTATAATCGTTATATAAATTGATTATATAATTACAATTTCAACATACCAAAAAGGCATCCATATTCATACTAACCTCAACAACATATATAAAAGTAAATCAGTTTCTCAATGAATGCTCTCATCGCGACCAACAGCGCACTACCGGTCCATGGTCATCCACGGTAGGTCTCCACTGAAGTGGCCTTCGATCGCCATACTTCCCCACTTATCTAGTTCTCTGTTAACGATTCTGATCACAGCAACGCTCAAAGAGACGTACAGGGCAACTCACTCACTCTTTCGATCGTCTTGGCATTAGACCCAGAGAGTTGCCCAAAAAATAAATAACATCATCGCTCTTCTGACCAGCATCATCACGAATGTGTTGGGGGAATACAAATTCATCTGATGGATTAGTGAAAATTACGGTAAATAATAGGGGATTTCTGAACTCACCTCTGAGGTGTTTCAGCGGATCATTTTCGTCTAAAACCTTCAACAATTCATCATATCCATCGACACTAAAGTGAGATAGAATATTGGAGAGAACTCAGACGTGGACAGATCTACTTGAAATGCCTTGCAAGTCGGTCGAGCGCAATGCCAACATCAACGACTTCAACACAGCCATCTGTCGGACGAATCCTGCCTAAGGACGACTACAATGAAGCTGAGCAGCGTTTTGACTCGCGTAAAAACAACACAAAATACCACTAGATATGTTGGCGGTCTCCTTTGTTTTTATTATGGATAATAACTATTTGCAAGGCATGCTACGACCGGATAATCTCTCCTTGATTCATTTCTTCGAAACCCAAACATGCTCGGCTCACCAATCTCAACGTCCATATATAAGAGTACACTGCCAGGCTGAGCTCCCTCATTGCTCTGCATATTGAATACTAGGACCTTATAGTTATCCCTGCTGATGCGATGACCATCTCAACACGACATGTTGTTACATCGTCATAGCAAACACCCCAGATATCGAGCACGATCGTACTTAATAGAAATGTCATTCCACTGAACCACAATGAGATCACATAGACCCAAGTAGTAGAATATTAAACCAGTCAGAGAAAGCGATTTCACCCTGCAGATGGATTCCACGAAAACGATGCCGCAATGACCTGGGAGAAGGGATGTTTCCTGGAGAGTGTATGACGATCCGTACCAGATAGGAGTCCAAACGCCTCTAGCACAATGACGGCGGCGACCACAGGTACGCAGGTTCCCGGTCCGTTGACTAGTAATAAGGAGGGACACGCCCTTCTAACGATCGAAAGAGAGGCCAAGATTGACGATAGTGTCGAGAATACTGTCGTGAAGTAACTGGACAAAGTAAAACTATGCATTCGATTCGGTGAGGGATCAAGGAAAAATATCAAGATACAGAGCAGCGTATCATACGCAGTGCGGGAAAAAATGCACATGGTCAACTACATGTGTAGGTGCCGATGTGGAATTCCGAGGAAACTTGAGGGAATTCTTATTGGTTTCTGTACAATTTTGCCTGAATCCTTATACGAACTCCTATTATTGGTGAGGAAACTCCTGAGCTGAGCTGAGGAAACCGAACATATATTCCAACACTGAGTGCATGAATACCAGATGGATTGACCATCGAGCCGACGACAATTGTCAAGTTCTCCACGAAAACTATCTTGCTTTCTCTCGACAAGGCTCAGCTGCCTACGATGCTGAATGATTTGCCTTATATTCAACAGCTCCACAGTGTAGAGTATTTTCTATGCTATTCTCACCAGTAAGTGTATCGGACCGAACCAATATGCCAATCCCTAGAGT